CGACGACGACGACGACGACGACGACGACGACGACGACGACGACGACGACGACGAGGGGGGGGCCGCCGCCGCCGCGCAGCCTCCACAGGCGCTCCTCCTTCTCTTCCTTTAGGCTCAAGGAGCCTTGAGCTTCTAGCGCGGCCCGGGGGTCTGCAGTCGTTCCGCAGGGAGCGGCGGCGGGCTCTGGGGCCTACCTTCGGGGCTAACCCGAGGGAGATCTGCTGTCTCACAGGAGATGGCGGGGCACCTGGTGAAAGCCCAGGACCTGCTGCTGCCTCCGGGTGGCGGTGGGGGAGCTGGTGCAAGCCTAGCAGAGTCGTGCGTCCCTGCGCGGAGTGCGGCGCGTCCGGTGCAAACCCGCGACGACCTTCTGCTGCTTCCTCCGGGAGGCGGTGGGGGAGTTGGTGAAAGCCCAGCAGAGCTGTGGCTCCCTCCGGGGACTGCGGCGTGCCCGGTGAGAACCCGGGAACCTCTCTCTTCAAGACCTGGGCTCTCCTGCCCGGGCCGCCCTTCGGGGTGTGCCTCAGAGCAATCTGAGGAAACGCTGGAGCCCGCAGAAGCTTTCGAGCACGCTGTGGGGGAAGGCTCGGCCGCGTACGCGGTTGTGCTCTCGAGTGATCGAGAGAAATGCTGGGTTGATGCCGGCTCTCCCTCCGCGGGTGCGATGCGCGGACACCCCCGGGTTAACCACGCCGGGGTTCATCGACACTTCACGGCAGTCGCTCGGGAGTCTCCACTCTCCGAGAGAGATAGTAGTGAAGGGCACCTCGATCCTACCGAGGCTAAACAAAGGACCTATGCAGCGGGCGCTCGGGAGTCTCCTCTCCCTTGGCAGCTAGCTGTTGTGGAAGCCCCAGCTCCGGCTGGGCGCCTGGCCGCGCCACGCTGTGCGGCCGGGGAAAGTCCCGCGAAAGCGGGCCCTGGTTCCCCTCCAGGTGGGCCTCGTGCCAAGGGGACCCGGTGGTTCATCACATCGGGTTACACTGAAGGAAACGAAGGTTTGGAGAGAATGTCTGTATGTGCGGAAGCGTGGTGTGGCGGTGGCGCGGCGGGTGCGGTGGGCGGACGCGACTGCGGTCTGCGCTGGGAGGACGAAACGCTCGCGAATTTTTCGCGGGCGTTTTCGGCGCCAGCGCGGGCTGTGCGGCGCGGGGAGGAGGCCTCTGGGTCAGTGCGCTGGGAGGGGGAAACTATCGCGAATTTTTCGCGACGGTTTTCTGCTTCGGCGTGTGGCCTGTTGGGCCGAGCGGGCGTCTCGGGAATGGCGCCCTCGGAGGGGGAAACGCTCGCGGATTTTTCCCGAGGGTCTTCTGCTCCGGGGGCCGCTCGGTGCGGATGTGTCTCTTCGGAGGCAGCGCGCTGGGAGGGGGAAACTATCGCGAATTTTCCGCGAGAGTTTCTCGATTCTGCGCGTGCGGCGGGCGCGGTGGGCGGACGCGACTGCGGTCCGCGTTCGGAGCAGGAAACGCTCGCGAAATTTTCGCGGCCGTCTTCGGCTCTGGCGCGGGCTGTGCGCTGCGGAGAGGAGGCTACTGGGTCAGGGCGCTGGGAGGGAGAGTTTCTTTCGGACTTTTCGCGGGAGGTTCCGGCTGCGTCGCGGGCTTCGGCTCCGGTCTTGCCAGGCGGGATCGCGCGGGCCTCGGATTCCGTCGCTTTGCCCGTCCCAGCGCGGCTCGCTGATCATTCGCCGTGGGAAAGCAGTGATGGCCGTGAATTTATAGAGGATTTCGACGCGGGGGAACTTGATGCTTTTGCCGCCAGCGATTGTGACGACGACGACGAGAATGACGATGACGACGATTGGTTTGGAGCTGACGACGTCGTCTGGTCAGCCCCGGTCCCGGCTTCCTCTTTGGCAGTGGCGTTGGCCTCGGCTTCTGTCGCGGCCGTGGTCTCGGTCCGGGCTCCGTCTGTGCGGGGCGCGGAGCGCGCCCCGCAGCTGGGGGGATCTGTGGAGTGGGAGGACCGGCTGCGTGAGAGCTTGCGCGCAGAGCACGACGTGATCAGGGAGGAAGTCGTGGATGATGCCGCCTGGGAGGCAGCGCAGCGCGAGCAGAAAGCGCATCGCAAGGCGTGCCGCGCGTCGCTTCGGAGGTCGCGCTGTGCGCGGCGGGAGGCGGAGTGGGCGCGGCGGACGGAGGCGGCGGCGGCGCGTAACGAAGAGATGGCGGTCCGTGTCCCGCTTCCAGTCGTGCCGCGCCTTCTTCCGCGCGATGAGTCGCCGCGTGCGCGCGATGAGTCGCCGCGGCGTGCCCGGGTGTCCCGCGCGGCGCTGGGGGGGCGGAGAAGCGCGCGACTGCAGCAGTTTCTGAATGCCCGAGCGGCGCGGGCTGTCGATTCGGTGTCCACCCCGCGCGTGGCGCTGTCGTCTCTGGAAGCGCGGGTGTCTGCGCTGTCAGTCGGGGAGGTTGCGCTGATTGCAGTTTCAGTTTTTGCTGCGCTGGGTCTGTTCCCGCCAAGGCCACAAGTTCTTTCGGGTGGCCGCGCTGTGACGCGCGCGATGGCGCGCGCGCGGATGTGGAAAGAGAGAGAGAGCTTCTGGCGCGACGTGGACGCTCCGTCCGATGCGGCGCCGTCTGCCGCGAAGGTTCGGGTCGCCAAGTGGTTTTACTGTGGCCTGCGTGGGCTCTCCGCGCGGAGGTGCGGGGGGCGGCGCGTGTGCGCGCGCAGGTTCTCCCCCGGCATTGGCATCGGCGCTGCCAAGGCCAGGGCGGGCCGGGGCGCGGACGAGTGCGTGGGGGGCGCTGCCTGGAGGGCGTCGCAGAGGGCGGGGCAGTGCGTTGGCGATGCGGCTTTGCGCGTGGCCTGTGTCTTCGCCGCGCTGGGCGGTGTGTCCTGCGATGTGTGTTCCCGCGTGGGACGACTCGGTGCTGCTGGGGGGTTTGGCGCGTCCCGTGCGTGGAGGCGGCGCCTTCGACGTGGCGTCGCGTCGGGGCGACTCGGAGTTGTTGATGCGGGAGATCGCCTGGGGCCGTGGCGGAATAAGTGTCTGCAATTGAGTGTCGCTCGGTGCGGGGGTGCTGGCGCGCGCGCGCAGGCGGAGGGCTTCTTCGAGTTGCAGTGCGCTAATGATTCCGGAGCTGGGGCGTGCGGTGACGCGGCGGAGAAGGCGAACTTTGCTCTCGTGCAGGATTGGCTGGAGGCGCGCCGTTCGAGGATGCGAGTCTATGAGGCGGAGAGTGCAGATGGTTTACTGCGTGGGGAGTGTTCCGGCGCGTGGTTTTTGGGTTCCGCGGGGGGGGCCGAGATCGGCAGCGTTGTGTGGTACCCAGAGGGCCATGTCGCGACGGTCGTTGATGTGGACGGTCGCTTGGCCGCTGGCGTATCTCTCGGAGCCGCAGGCGCCGCGCCGTGGCTGCGGTCGATTGCAGGCGCGCCGAAGAGGAGTGCGCCGAAAAAGAAGGCAGCCGCGAAAAGCAAGCGAGGTGCGCATTTCCGAGGTGCGCAGAACCCAATTTCCATGGCGGCCGTTGCTGCGCGGCAGCGACGCGCGACTGGTGAGGATGGGGCGCCGTCGTCGTCTGGCGAGGACATGCCAGTCATCCCGGGAGTCACCGTCGACGATGCCGATTCGGGCGATGCTGCGGGGGCGTCCGTGCTTCGTCGACCTGCAGCTGCGGCCGCCACGCATGGCCGTGCGTCTGGGGACGAGAGCGATTCGGGTGAGGACATGCCGATGCTTCCAGGGGTTACGGTGGAAGAGGATGACGCGGGGGCTGCTCGGGCGCGATCGGACGCCGTCGCACCGCAGGCAGCGGCTGCGAGGCGCGCTCTTCGGGGCGCGGCTTCGGCCGCGGCGCCGCCGAGCGATTCTGATGGCGAGGAGATGCCTGTCCTTCCTGGAGTGACCGTGGACGTCGGGGGTGCTGACGATGGTGCAAGCGATGGCAGCGGGCCGGCCGCGCGTCCGCGCGGTGCCCGGAGAGCGCGCCGGAAGCGCGGGGCCGCGGACGGGGCGCTTGCGTCCGAGGCAGAGTCCCGGCAGTTCCAGCCGGATTACGTGGACGAGGACCGCTGCAAAGGGCTGACGTGGGGGGGGGGCTGGGGGCGAGAGCAGTGCCGGTTTCGGCCGAAGACGGGGAGCGACGTGTGCGGGAAGTGCGCTCGATATGGGTGCCCGCACGGGCGCGTCAGGGGCCCGATTCCTGCAGGCGCGTTGGATAAGTTCAAGGAGTTCGCGCTGAAGGCGAACAAGCCATCTAAGCAGTGGTACGCGCGGCACGCGATGTGGGACGTGGCGTCGAAGATGAAGCCTGAGCTGAAGTCCTTGTGTGAGGTGGACGAGCACAAGCGATTTGTGTTAACGAACAGTGAGTACGAGCAGTGCCTCAAGCAAGTCCATGACAATCTCCGAATCCATAAGAACTATGGCCGTTCTGGCTTCGTATACGAGAAGGGGGCAGGGGTGCGGACACTGCAGGATCGCTGCGGGGAGGGAACTACTCGGTTCGGATCGGAGAGGGAGTCCTACAATGGGCAGCAGGGGGGGAAGGTGTTCATGTGGTACAGCAGGGCGGTCTTCAACAAGTACCTGGGGCAGCTGCAAGCTTCCGAAATGGATTGTAGCGAGAAGGACTGCGTGGAGGCGTTGCGGTTGACCAGCGAGGAGATCCGGCGGTACCCAATGAAGCAGCAGTATCTGAAGCCGTACGCAGGCCCGCAGTGCTATCCGCACATTGATCCGCGTTCGAAGGAGAACAGGCTGCACGCGAACGAGAAAATGGGGCATGCGCCCGGAGAGGATCCGCAGGGGGGCGGCGACGGCGGCGCCAGGCCCGAGGCGTGCGGGGGAGCCGACGACGGGGCGTCGCACTTGTTCTGTATGCGGAATTGGGCGCAGTGCGATCGGTGCCACTGCTGGCGCCTGCTTCTGCCTGCCTGCGCTGCGCGCGCGCGAGGGGATGAGTACTACAGGGTTCGCGACACCGACTTGGATTGGGAGGGGTGGTTGACGGGGGCGGCGCATCGGTGTGCGGCGGCGGCTGGTGCGTCGAGAGACCAGGGCGCTGCGCTCGGTGGGGGGGGCGGCGACGCCGTGGAGGGTGCGATGCAGCAGGGCGGCGGCGCGGACGAGGGCGTCGGTGGGGGGGAGATGCGCGGCGGCGCTCGGAAGCGGCGCCTGGGGCGGAAGACATCCGAGGCGGAGGCTGCCGAGCCCGTCGCGGTGCGCGGCGGGGCGCGGAAGCGGCGGTTGGGGCGCAAGACGTCCGAGGCGGAGGCCGCTGCGAGCGGAGCGGGGCGCAGGGGCGCGGAGGAGGGGCGAGCTGGCGAGGGGGGCGCGGAGGTGCCGGAGGCGCGCCGGGGGCGCCGGAGACTCGAGCGCAAGACGTCCGCCGAAGAAGGGGCCGAAGCGGGCGGCGCGCTCCGCGGAGCCGTGGACGAGGAGGGCGGTGGTGACGAGACATTCGGCGGCATGGCGGAGTTATCGGCCTTCGATTGCGACGACGAGCGTTCTGCGTCAGATCATGAGTGCGCCTCGGAAGAAGACGCGGCGCCGCTGCCGCGCGAGGTGCGCAGCGCGCTCGATGCGGAGCTGGTGCGTTTCGCTGGTGCTGGGCCGCCGACGGAGGCAGACCTGGCGGGGGCGCGAGCGGCCGAGGAAGGGCGCGGGAGCGCGCCGCGCCGCGCGGGATTGTCGCGAACCGGAGGTGGGGATGCGCGGGCGTGGGCAGTTGCGTCCGTGCCCCACCTCAAGGACAAGCGGATGGTGGCATTGGTCGGTGCCGTCCGCGAGTACCTGGTGTTGTGCCGTCAGTGCGACCGGGGTAGTTTTCGGATCCAGGGGTCGGACGGCGATAAGTTGTGGGTTGCGCTGATGGAGCCGGGGCGGCCAGGACAGTTCGGGCGCGTGCTGCTGGAGCTGGAGGATCGCGCGCGCGGTCGTGGGCCGAGCGCGGAGCGTTCGTCTTGGGAGGCGATAGCCGTGGAGGAGGATTTCCGTCGTCGCTCGGAGTGGCCCCGAGTGCGTTTCGAGTGTAGTATGTTGCAGACGCCGGTCGTGTCCGAGAGCGGCGGGGCGCAGTGGCGGGCGGTGCGGTGCTGCGATGAGCCGGACGGGGGCGATGCGGATGATTTCCAGGCTCTGTGGCAGCGCGAGTCGCGGGTCGCGGCCGGCTTCGCAGCGAACGTGGTTCGGGATGACGACGTGGTCGTGTTGCCTGTGGAGCGGCCTGCCGGGTGGACGGAGCCCGCGCACATGGCGGGGGCGTGGTGGCGGGGCCAGGGCCCGCGGGAGCGCAGAGCAGAGGAGGGGGAGAATCCCGGGCGCGTCTGGGTGGGCCAGCTGCAGGAGGACGCCGGCGTGGCGGGGCTGCTGCCCGAGGGCGGCGCGGGCGAGCGCACTGCGAAGGAGGGGCTCGACGCGCTGCAGCAGGCCGGTCAGGGAGCTCGGGGGGCGGGTCGCGCGGGTCGTGGCCGGGGGCGCCGAGCGAAGAAGCGCGGTCGGTACGGGAATGATTTGCGGGCCGTTATTCGGACCAGATGGGCGCCTGGGAGGTCGTCGGAAGGTGCCGGCCCGGGCGTCGCGGAGTCGTTTGTGTTTGGATCAGCGCCAGAATCGGAGCATTGGGAGATTCGTGTGGAGGCGCGTTTGCGCGAGCGCTGCGGCGGGCGTGTAAACCAACGAGCGCGTGTTGCTGCAGGGGACGTACACCAGAAGTGCATGCTGCTGGCGCTGAAGACGGTGCCGCTGCGCGTGGCGAAGTATGACGTGCAGCTGCGCGATGCGTCCGTGCGGGCCGTGCAGGCGGCGCAGGCGATCCTGACGCGCATGGTGAAGTTCACGTGCCACGAGTGCCAGGAGCGGTTCCCGGCGTTCCACCCTGCCTTCGAGCCGCCGGACCAGCTGGCGGATGAGATGCTGCTGCTGCGTCGCGGCGGGGACGGGCTGGCTGCGTGCAGCACGGAGGTGGCCGAGTGGGACGAGGTGCCGCCGAGCGACCCGCCGGATGGCTTCGCCCTGGAGTGCGCGGGCGTGTGCATGCGGTGTAGGCGGGATCTGGACAAGCAGGCGGCGGCCGCGCCCACGGAAGACGACTTGTATCAGGTGGTGGGTCTCCGCACCGCGGAGAATCACATGGACCCGTGCTTCCGGTTTCCCTCCGATGACCTGCGCGACCTGTTCGACCAGGCCACGCTCACGGAGAGCCTGCTCATTGCTCTGGACCACATGCAGGTGCATCTGGCCACCGTGTCTCGGACAGGGCTGCGCAAGTTCCGCAAGAACATCATCTCGTTCCCGCAGGATGTGGCCGGGTTCGCGCGGCGTCACGAGCTAATGAAGGGGTACCGCGTCGGGGATCGCGTGAACTCGGTGCGCGGACCTGGCGAGCGCCCCGACGACCCGCACCGCCCGGAGCGCATTGCCGCGGGGGGCACGGACGAGGAGCGGCAGCGCTTCGGCGTGGACGTGTACGGGCGCCTGGTGTTTCCCGGTCGGGTCGCGGAGGTGCTGCTCAGTGGGGAAGTGATCATCGACTACGACCATGGCGGCAGGGGGAGGGAGCTTCAGGAGAACGTGGAGCCGCGGGTGATGCTGCCCTGGCACCCGAGGAAGGTGCCCTTCAGTCTGATGCTGCGGCGGAACGTTGGTTTCGGGAAGGAGGTGGTCGAGGGCCTGCACGTGCGCTGGCGCTACTGTGGGCACCTGCTGCGGGCGCTGTGCGCGTTCGCCGGCTCGTACGGGCCCTGGCGCCTGGGCGGCACTGCGAATGAGCCCATGCACAAGTACTACGACCCGCGTTTGTTTGATGTGCTGCCGGACGACGACATCATCCGGTGCTATGCGCCGAAGGAGAGCGA